TTATGTCCTAGTTTTTTTTATGGTTGCTGTTTGTTTTGTTTACCTGTGTTTTGCTTGGTTGTTAGTTTCCCGTCTGTGTTTGAATCAGTGTTATTTGTGTTTCTAAATAAAATGCTGCTGCAAGTTGATCAAAGCCTCTACTCTCTCCTGCCCACTACACCGTTGAAGTACAGTAATTAGTCGGCTAGGGAGGTATGGGGACATCTGTTAGTTAAAACGTTAACCCTATTCACCTGTCTTGCCTTGCCCTTTTGCAGCCTGGCTGGTTTAAGATGAGTGAGTCTTCATTTTTGTAGTATGTAGTAACATGCTTAAGAGCTTAAAAAACACACACATTTTATCTTTGAATAAAGGAAATGTTTAAAGTGACGCACAATAAGTAACTCAAGGTGATTTTACCAGGTTTGCTCACATTGTGCCTATAAACACTGCTCACCAGTCTTGAAATCACTAACACCTTGAGTGGCTTATTGCTTAAACTCATGGCAGCAGCTATGCGATAAAGCCAGAGATTTATTCAGTTATAAAAGTTCATCTGCTAATATCAGTTTAATAACTGCAGCTGAGTAGCTTATTTCTTCATTAATGCAGGCCTGTGTTTTCACAGTCTGACCTAGCTGTGTTTTCTGATGGTTTATCCCCTTACGGAAAGAAAATATATATGAACGGTCAATATATTAAAGAATCTTCAGTATATTGGTAATTATATAGAATAATACATTGTGGTAATATATTACAATAAGCTAGGGAGGTATGGGGACATCTGTTAGTTAAAACGTTAACCCTATTCACCTGTCTTGCCTTGCCCTTTTGCAGCCTGGCTGGTTTAAGATGAGTGAGTCTTCATTTTTGTAGTTTGTAGTAGCATGCTTAATAGCTTAAAAAAACACACACATTTTATCTTTGAATAAAGGAAATGTTTAAAGTGATGCACACTAAGTAACTCAAGGTGACTTTAACAGGTTTGCTCACATTGTGCCTATAAACACTGCTCACCAGTCTTGAAATCACTAACACCTTGAGTGGCTTATTGCTTAAACTCATGGCAGCAGCTATGCGATAAAGCCAGAGATTTATTCAGTTATAAAAGTTCATCTGCTAATATCAGTTTAATAACTGCAGCTGAGTAGCTTATTTCTTCATTAATGCAGGCCTGTGTTTTCACAGTCTGACCTAGCTGTGTTTTCTGATGGTTTATCCCCTTACGGAAAGAAAATATATATGAACGGTCAATATATTAAAGAATCTTCAGTATATTGGTAATTATATAGAATAATACATTGTGGTAATATATTACAATATACTGAATAATACAGAAGCAATTGCCGCTTTCCATATATTGGGGAATATATGTCAACATATATTGTGCTCATATAGCCACATTCATATGGGAATATATATTAGCAATATCTGAACACAATTCAAGGTAAATATTTATTTTAATATATTTTCATATATGGAATTATATATTTGTAACATATTCTACACATATCATTTAACATATATGCAGTATAATGTCACATATATATGTGAACATGTATGCAAAATATATGTATCCAAATCTGACAAATATATTTTGTAATATATATCTATTTATGTAGGCTATGTAAATATCCCATAATGTATGACTATACATGTGTGTGTGTGCATATATTAATATAATATTGTTAATATCTACTAAATGTGTGTGAAAATACATTTGTATATATATATATATTGCTACGTGTACTGCGTTAGGCTAACCGAGACTTGTCACAGCACTCTTTTGTTGGTTTGATTGCTATTGTCCTCATTAAGTCGCTTGGATAAAAGCGTCTGCTGAATGATTAATTGTGGACGTTAATTTGCCTGAATCTGTACAGAATTGGGGACTTTTGTAGGCATATTGGGAATGTATTTTTGAGACATTTAAGTTTGTATGTAGACCCATGTGTTAATAAAAACGAATGAGTGTTTCAATAAAGCTATGTAGTACTGTATTGTTTCTGTCTTATTGCTAAATATATATTTTATATGTATCAATTTATGGCTATACATGATTCATGCATATATTGCCGAATACTGAAAAGTATAAGCACTAGAGACCCATATATCAAAATATATTATCTCATTATATCTTCCAATATATTCACATATATTTTTTTGTTGGTAAGGGTCATGATGACAGCTCTCGTGAGTGCCGAGGCCTCTGAAGAGCAGCTCCATGAAGAATCACTTGACTGATTATCATGTGCTTGACATTTGACTTCATAATCGTCTCAAACGAACCGTAGACGTGTCTGACTACACTTGGATTTTCTGCAGTTGTGACGGGTAATGACATTAGTTTCACTGTGACGATGCATTACTTTCATGTTACAGAAAACGCAAACAATAACAGCTTTGTAAATACAGTGCGTGTGTGTTAGCGTGACTGCGGGTCACTCTGAGCTTTCTGCTGGAGAGAGGCCTACGTGACCTGCGGAGTCACATGACCACATACCAGACGGGCCTGGACAAACACGCCTTAATGAGCTCGGCCTGCTTTCACACAGATATAATGCACAAAAACTCTGCGCGAAAGCATGTGGGAATTTCCTCTGTGAAAGGCACATTGTTCCTGGCCTCAGGTGTGTGTTCGCCAGCGGCGGATTAGAGCAGCGACTGACTTTGATATAAATGAGCCCGAGCTCTGAGTGCTGGAGATCTACACATCACGTGTGTTTGACACCTGCAGATGAAGGAGGAAGTGAAGCGGCAAGTGTTTCCTGTCGTGCTGCTCATTGAGGGCTGCTGAGGGAGGCAGAGAGATTCATTCGGTGTGTGTTGAGCGCAGACGTCAGCATGAGATGAACACTAAAACACCCAAATGTCATATATCGCACATCCGCAACAGACCATTTTATTAACTCCATAAAGTGCCTAGCTTTGTGAGCTTAGACCAAACAACATGCCTAAAAGAGCTTGTAAATATGAGGACATGGCAACACTGCAAGACATAAAATGTTGCTATGGTTACAAACGCGGGAGCGAGTGCTGTTCGGTACACACACATGTAATGATAATTTACAGGACTCACTCCCGCATTTGAATGCGGCGGTCTGTACGTGGCCATGGTGATCTGAGTTTAGTTTGCAGACGGACTCACCGACGAAGTAGCTCATCATCTGCGGCGTGTGGTGAGGCGTGGGAGCGATGCGCAGCAGCTCCTCTCCGCGGGCCACCGTGGGGTAGTTAATGGCCTGGACGTAGATGTTATAGCGGCTCATCATGATGTCGCACACCTGCGTGTTCTTCTCAGCGTCTGCCACCTGAGGACACACGTCAGCGTCAGTCCGAGCGAGTTTCCATCAGGAGACTCCAGTAGCACATTATTGTGATGGACTCGTTTGAGCATTGTTCACAATAAATAACGCTGCACCTACATGTCAACTAGCTCTCAGTAGACTGTCTGCTTCATATCTGCTAACTCTTTAACTGTGATGTCTCCCAGCAGACATTCGACTGACTAGAAGTAACTTTGCATGTACATGTCAACTTATTCAAACCCTAACCCTACCAGTCTACTAGTACTCTAATGAGAGTTAGAAGACATTTAGGTGCAACATTACTTCTAGTCAACAGAATGTGTTAAAGGGACAATCAAAATAACGTGAAACCGAGATTCCTATTACACTTATGCACAAAACTGGAATATCGCATAAAACATTTGTGAATAAAGCACTGTTTCTATCCAACGAGTCAAAGAGAATAAAATGACAAACAAAACTGAGAAGAGACTAAGGAGAAGCTTCAACAAAAGAGCAATGTTATGCAAGTGCTATAACAAGTTTTTTTTTATTATATAATAAATAAAAAGAGAACAGATAGAATAGAAAAAGAAGAGGAAGCTAGTGTTCGAGGCCTGTTTTGCTTTTGTTAATTGTATAATAAATAAAAAGATGATAAATAGATGGAATACAAAAAGATTAGAAAATCTAGTGTTAGTTTTTTTTGTTTTTTTTTTAAGAAAACAAGCAGTTAGTAAAATTTGTCTTTCATCTCACCCCACTTTTCTACATCTAAATGTATCCGCTGCAAGTGGTAGTCTTCTGCGCACATTACAAAGAAGTCACACCAAGGCATGCCTGTGAGTCCCAGCTGCCCTATTATTTGGTAGTAATACGCGTGGGTCTCCTTTAGCTTGTAACCACCATCTGCCTGTCTTTGGAGATAGGGACAGTCTTGGCAGCTGTTCTTTGCTGGACATTTAATTTCCAAAAGGCCAAAGCTTGTACCATCTACGACATTCCTGTCTGGGGATGTGCCAAGGTGTGGAGCATGGGAGTTCACTACAAAGCCGCAAGGGTATACCAGATTACCTGTTACGTTTGAGTACTGCTGCGCTGCCACAGGTTCTAGCTCTACCCCTCTCCTCATTGCTTTGGTCTTTTAGATGTGCCCTTGATTCTCACAGCCAAGGTGTCAAAGTCGGCTCTCCTAGAGCATATCGTCTTGAACACACTTGATGTTAGTCGGGGAGCCCGGGCAAGATGCCAGATGTGATTTGTATCTTGTTGTCTGGTCTCTCTTTCTAAAGCTAAAGACTGGGATGGTGTGATTGTCAATTTTCTGTAGCTACACATGTTTTTTTCATGCAGCACTGCACAGAAATTTGACGGCTGTGTTGGCAGAGGGAAATCCGGGAAGTCGTTTGACGGCTGGTTCGCAGATGATGGTCCTGGCGCCATTGGTTTGGGATTACTCACCGCTGACTGGACGAGACATCTGTCAATCACCGTATACAGAGAAGAACCAGCCGAAGAACAGCAGAGTCGTGGTAGAAAGTTCGGAGATGGTATTAAAGTAGCTCAGTTTAAATGTATTGTATGAATTGCCCTTGTATACGTTGATTGGCAGATGTCTCGTCCAGTCAGCGGTGACTAATCCCAAACCAATGGTGCGGTCTCAAACTATACCTACCTCTTCCGGTTTGTCTGATTTGTCGTTGTGTTTTCTGACTTGTTCATTGACCCTTCGCTAAGCCACGCCCGAAAAAACCGCCACAGGCCAATCGTGGCTTAGCAACCGTAACTAGGCGTGGGAGGTCTGGCAAGCTTTCGAGCGAGGGTAACATGCCGAAGCGTTGTGCAAATCTGATACCCGGTATCCTAAAAGTTTGGATGGGGTGGTGGAATTTTTTCCCTTCCCGAAACCTAAAACCCAAGGGGAGAAATGCCGGGGGTGGATCAAGCAGTGTGGGAGGCCCCATTCACAACTAAATGTCGACAGGATTAACAAAAACACCTACGTTTGCTCCAAGGTAAGAACACGCTAATGTTAGCTAGCTAGCTAACTCAGCACAGCATTGCTTGGAAATAATGACGGTTCTTTGTTCATAATGCATATATTTGAACGTAAAATAAGATGATTAAATGCAAGACGGAGGCTGACTGACATACTTTAAAATATATTTCAGCATTTTGTTAATCGACGGCCTACCCCTGAGTACCCCAATCCGATCGCGGCTCTCCCGGGGTTAGTTCTAAGGAGGGAACATCAGGGGGCTTGCCGGAGATCTCCAAGGAAAAGGTTGGTATGCAAACTTAATCAGTTCATTAACAGTAGTCACTTATGTGCTGTCATACCTGTTTACTACCGTGTAGACTTTATTTGGGCAGCGAGATTTATTACAACACAGCATGCTCTCGTGCTTTATACAAAGTGCATTTTATTTGTTTCTGGTAAGAAACCAATACAGGATCAAAACCCCAACAAAACAACAGTGTAATACAATTTTATTCCATGGGGCTATCAAAAGTTAAGTTATTAGAAGGGTTTGTTAAACTTTAATGATTTCATGAAGACAACTAAACAATTGTTAAACTGATTGCTTACTGAATCATGTGTGACAGGAAGCCAGCACCTCAAACTCCACTGAGGACACATTTCACAGTACATCACAACAGAGTGACTCTACCTATGGTAAGTTTAAAGAGATTTTCAGTGAGTGCAACATCCTTGACATTTTGAAGGGGTACATTCAGTGTGGCTATCTCAATGTAGGAGATGGCTTGATGGTTGATAAAGGCTTTCTAATAGAGAAGGAAGTTGAGGAGACTGGTTTGTAACTTAACATTCCACATTTTGCAAGAGCAAACAGATGCCACAGATGCCACATGCAGATGTTGAAATGACCAAAAGAATAGCCAAGCACAGGGTTCATGTTGAAAGAGCTATTGCAAAAATAAAGAAGTTTAAAATTGTGTCAGGCCAAATCCCGATTTCCGGCTTGTGAACATAAATCAAATATGGTATGTAGTCAGCATGCTGTCTAACTTCCAGCCACATATCATCAAAGATTAAGGTTGTCTGTGTAGAAGAGCTGAGTGGTCAAGGAAGATCACGCTGACGTGGTGCACTGCCCTGTGCATACATGTTGAGTGAATTTCATATAAAGTACACAATAAAGAATATCTACTTTAATACTGCTTCATCCTATTAATTTACCTGATGGCTCAAACCACTTCCTAGTGGGTATCTCTCTCCTCCTGCAGTTATGTCAACAGGGGGTTTGTTTACCAAGTAGCTGATGGGTGCTCCTGTCTGCCTTTTTAATAAAGCAATTTTCTCCTCTGTATAAAGAATACCCTATCAATACAAAGCTAGGGGTTTTATATGACAAAATTTTGCTGTACTTGGAAACCTGCCTCTCTAATGTTATGGTTTGCATATTATAGTATTGTTTTATTTTCATTGGCTTTAGCGACAACTACCGATGATATTGGCATTGCCCTTATTTTGTTACCCCTTGGCTTGTGCCATTGCTGTGGTAGACTCATGCAGGAGGACTTTGTTTGTGTTGTTGATGATGTATGGCTCAGCTCAGCATCTCTGGCTCTTGCCAGGTCCAAGGCGTAGATTAGACCCACGACGTGTGAGCAGTAGCCTGTCGCGCTAAAAATATAAGCGGGAGAATGTTATCATTGCAAAGTGGTCAGGCTAATGTCTTGTGTTTATTCCGCAAGACTTATGGATAAGCTGTTTGATTTATAATTATTAGATTATTTTCAAATTGCACTTACCCTGCTGTGCATGAACATAGCTGTTCCTCAATTTGTGTGTTTCCCATTTGAATGGTCAGCATATGAGGCGGCTGCTACTTGCGCTGGGACCTATAGGCTTTAGCTTAAATTGATGAAATTATTCTCTAATCGGTTGAATATTATGTCGTGGATATATCCCTCGAATGCATACTGCAGTCCCTTTTGTCTTGCACTCTCAGATATTTCACCTGTTCACCAAAAATTACTAATTATCTCCTTGGGAATGGAATGTCTGACACCGGTGCATACATACTGTAATAGACGTGCCAGGCGCGAAAGCTTGTCAGGCGTAGCAACAGTAACTAAGGAGGGCGGGGCTTAGCGAAGGGTCAATTTGTTTTCGGATTTGTCGTTGTGTTTTCTGACTTGTTATAATGTTTTCTGAATTGTTGTTGTGCTTTCTGAATTGTTATTTTGTTTTTTAGACTTGCATTTGAGTTTGTAATTTGTTATTTTGTTTTCAGAATTGTGATTTGTTTAGCACTTCTCGGCCACCGTAGATTAGCCTAATATAACGAATACAAAAGCTGTGGTTAACTTGATCTTCAGAGAAACCCACAGATAGATTTGATTAGTGTGATATCTTAAAGTCACCTCATATAAACAGAGGCTGAAAGGAAGCGATATTGATGCTATTTGGATAAGGAATATTACATTTAATACATAAATACTGCCACTGAAAGAGAGATTTAATATAACAAGTCCTATTAAACCATGTCTGTGGGCTAAAACTCTACTGACGTTAAATTTAAACTATACTTTGAGTACCTCGGACTTGCTTGGACTGCTATTTTTGTATTATCTTAACGTTTACTCAGGCAAACATCACTATTATTATTGTTGTTAATAAATACAGAAGAGCTACAAGAAACTGCAGAGGACAAAGTAAATATATATAATAAAATGAATTAATTAATAAAATAATAATTGTACATCAGAATGAAGAAACAAAATTCAATATCAAAACTCCATTGGGTTATAGCACTTTTTTACCCTTTTCATTTAGACAGTATACATGCATAAGATAATATGAATGTATGCATGTCTGTATTATGCATTATTATAAGACTATTATGATCCTGTAGATCTGTGACTTGAGCAGATATAATAGGAAAATGGGTCTGACCTCATCTGGCATGCTGTCTAATTTGACACTTGTAAATATTGAGTAGCAAAACCTTTTTAAATGGCAAAATGTCGCAAATTATGCCCATTTGGTCAAATGGTAGATCACAACACTCGCAACACCAAGGTCCTGGGTTTGATTCCCAGGAAATGCATGAACCAAAAATGCACAAAAGTGTCTGCAAAATGCATGAATGTAACGAAGTCTAAATGTAGACGTACCTCCTGAGCAGGAGGGAATAAAATTCACGAGCACAGCTGTTACTTCTTGCCCAGCTGATTAATGAAAACAAGGATATAATCAAAGGAAAATCTGGAGTTGGGATAAGCTTCAAAACCGAAGCCGATATCTTTATAAAAGCTCATTATCGTCAAATATTTCTAAAATGTTTACGTTCTGAAGCAGATTGCTGGCAACAGCCACTTTAGGAATAGTTTGTGGTTTGGTCTTAGTGACTTAGGAGTCCTCTTCACTACTCCTAATGTTTCACAGATTTAAGAGCTAGTTTTAGTGTTAAAACTCTTTGTGAAATACTTTTAGATAAAAAATTTAGGACTGACACGCCCATTATTTTTAAGATTTTCTCCTAAATCGCCGAGTTATTATCTACTTTTAGTGACTTGTTTTGTGAATACGGGCCCTGATCTCTTCTGGAAGCTAGTTCCAACTGCGGGCTATTACTAAAAGCGGATTCCCCTTGTTTTGTGTGAACCCTTGGTATTTCTAACTGACTCAATCCTAATGATCTGGACAATCCCAGAAAGCCCGACCCAGTTTTCCAGTCTCGCTAGAAGTATGTTATGATCGACAGTACTAGTACTAGTAGTACCAGCACTGATATTTTGCCAGAATTAGAACTTAAGCAAATCTCATTTATTATGTTAATGAGTGCTGTCTTTGTGCTGTGATGCGGTCAGAAACCAGATTGAAAATTGTCCAGATAACCATTTGAGTTTAAGTAGTTGTTCAGCTGATTAAAAACTACGTTTTCAATAATCTTGCCTATAAAAGGAAGATTTGATATTGGTCTATAGTTGCTCAATATGGTGTTATCAAGATTGCTCTTTTTCAGAAGGGGCTTAACAACTGCAGTTTTCAGGGAGTTTGGAAAAGTCCCAGAAAGAAGTGAGGCGTTCACCACTTCTAAGAGATCTGCTACTAAACAGTTAAACACACTTCTGAAAAAAGATGTGGGAAGTGTTTCAAGGCAGCAGGTTGACGATTTATTTATTTTCTCTATAATTCTATTTTTTCCCAAATTTTGCTATCAATTGCTTCAAAAACAGACACAGTAACTTCTTTTTGAAATAGTGGTCGAATCTGACTTCTGCTAAACTTGAGGATGTGCTAGTCGCCTTTCTGATATTATTGATCTTCTCAGAAAAGGAGGAAGCAAACTCATTGCATTTGCTGTCGGAGAGCATTTCACTGGGAATCTGACTTGGGGGGTTTGTCAGTCTCTCAACTGTAGCAAAAAGAGTGCAAGTTTTGTATAAGTTACTGTTTATAAGGTTTGAGAAGAAGGTCTGTCTAGCTGTGGCTAGTTCCGCACTGAAAGCATGAAGTGCTGTCTTTATAGATGTTATAGTGAATTTCAAGTTTCGTCTTCCGCCACATCCGCTCAGCTTTTCCGCAATGTCTTTTCATACTCTGTGCTGCTGTTGATTTTCTCCAAGGTGATTTCGAGATACTCGTGACAATCTGATGTCTTGAGTGCTTTTGGGTCTCGCTCCCTGTTTGTGCCATCGATTAGTCTGTCGATCAGTTTCGGCTTGTTCCTCTACACTTGGTATTAACTGTTTAGATTCACTAGATTCACATGACTCACCGGCTGTATGCTGAGGGGGTCCGTGACGACGGTCTGCTGTGTGTTCCTCCTGTTTTGGAAGTCCAGCAAGTAACTTTGTTTCAAGAACCGCAATCCTTTGTAGAAGTTTATTGCATTACATGCAGCAAGTAGATTCCACAAGAGGCATTTTCTTTCTCATCTGTAGGCAGCTGTGTTTTCCCGTCTTCGGAATGCAAGCTGCTGGCAGTGGGAGACAGAATCTTCTTTTTCATAGTATTATTCCAGTCCCAATAAGATTTACATTTTAGTGTTTCTGCCAAAAATGTGTTGTTTGAGCACTGTGCTGATCTGCTAGAGTTAGAATCTTAGAAAAATCTGAGAAAAGTACATAAACATAGAGCAAAGCGTGGAGCAGTAAGCAAGAACGTCTGAACAGTAGCAAAGCCGGAAGCAAACCCTTACGAAAAAGAAGTTTATTCAAGTGTGCTATTAGTATACTTCTTTTAAACTAAAAATAGACAAATGAAGAGGTAATAATAACTGTCAAGCTTTGGGGTGTTGATCGACTTTATCTACGTTTTGATTATCATTCTGAATCCAATTCATAGTCTTTTTTTCAGCTTTTTGTTCAAAATGTTGTTTATTTCTTTATTTTATATTTATGAAAATTATCCACATTCAAGTGTTTAAAAAAAGAATGCATGAATAAAATGTTTTTGTTTACAAGCAGATACCCTGTTCTTGCGATGTTTTGTACATTCAGATATTCATGTAACAAAATATATACAAATTAATACCTAAATAGGGACATAGTAGTATACTTAAAGTATGATGTAAAGTTCACTTAAAGAAAACTTACGAGTATACTTGTAGTATAAAACTACTAAACTAGTAGTTTACTGAGACTATACTTCAAAGTGTACTAAAAATTCTACTACAAGTATTTAATTAGTAAACTATCAGTAT